GTTGTTAAACAAATAAAGGCCATGGATTAGAACACAAGTAAGGGACTATGGGAGAGATTAGAGGCAGGAAAGAGATAGTGAAAATAATATAATTATAATCCAAAGAAATTCTGTTAAAAATTTGAAACAGGCTTTATGGCCATGTGCTCCAGAGACTAGGGATTTGTATTGTTATGCCCAAATTCTGAACCCCAATATCACCAAGAGACACATTCTGATGCAAAAGCATAGTCTTTTAATGAGTTAACTTTTATGGGCCCTTCATCCATTCATCACAGCAGGTAGAATGAGAACAGCCTGGAGGAACTGTGAGGTGTGGAAATTATGGGGGAGAGCAAGGAGAATATCTAGGGGTACACAACAGTCCCAGGATTGGTGAACTTCCAGGCTTGGGCAACCTGTCCTGTGTTGATTGGTCAACTGGTTGCTGTGGCTTACAGGCCATCCCAGGATGGTTACTATGCTTTGCATGCTACTTTTACTGTAAGGCACATCCAGAGTCCCACCAGCTAACTTCTGAGTGGTTCCTTGCCATGTGGAGGGTATCTGATCTCCTAGTGCCTGGGGCAACTCCTGGAAGGTCAGAAAGCAGGCAACTAAGTAACATGTGTTGAGTCAGAGGTCTACATCTTGCTTGGTCTTTTCTGCAGCCTGTTATGGCTGCTAAAACAGGGCTTGTGGGTTTTGCCTTTAAAAACGCCTGTTTTCTTTTTCTTTTTTCTTTTCTTTTCTTTTTTTTTTTTTTTTTTTTAATGGAGGGATGGGCATTTCTGGTGGTTGTAAATCATGATTGTCTCCTTTGTTATGGGAATGTAGCTGGTTAATCTTGGAGAACAAACATTAGCATCTTATAATAACAGTCATGGTTAGCATACCACTTATCTTTGGGGTATTTGAGATGCAGTCCTATCTTACCAGAATTATACGTTGTGACTTTGTCTCCAAGAACTTACCAGTTCTTGGAGACAAGAACTACTCTTGTCTACTCTTCTACATCACAGTTTGGCAGTGGAGTGCTACTCTAAACAGGAAATACTGTTTAGGAGCTCCACAGAATAACTCCAGACATATATGCTAAATGTTTAAAGTTCAGAACTTCTTGAAGATACTAAAGGGACCAGGACTTTCTTTGTTTGAGGACTTTTCTTTGTTTGGCTTTTCATAGCTATGTCAACAGCAAGGATATTTCAAAGCACAGTCCAGTTCCTAATGCAGATGCAGCCAGCAGAGTAGCTACTGCTGGCATGTGAATTGCAGAGACCATGCAGGACCATGCAGGATCAGGCAGGATCAGGCAGGAACATGCAGAAATCTGCCTCTGGCCACAGGCCCCCACCCAGCCAGGGGAGGATGAAGCCCCAAGCTTATCATGTCATGGCTTGCCAGATTGCCCATGCTCTCTGCTCAGCTCCTTGCAGCAGCATTCACAGCACAGCACAGGAAACCACTGGTGCCAGCTTCTCTTCAAAGTCAAGTTAGAAGCTGGTGGTGGGAAGGACCCTTCACAACTTCTGGCTGGCAGGTCGCCAATCAGGCTAGTGAGGCACCTCCCATAGAGTTATACTATTCTTAAAGACACAGCACAATGGTCCCTAACCCTGCCTTCCATCCCAGACAAAAAGACCTTTTCTAGATCTGCAGAGATATGCATTTCTATAGCACTTGCCTGGCTCCAATAGCAGGCCCTGCTATCAATCTGCGATCAATAGGCATTTTCCCTTCTTCCTGCTGGACACAATGTGGCTAGTTAGCTTTCACAGCTGCATATCCCACTATATTATGTGGGTGGAGTGATTTCCTGTTACACAGATGAAAATGTGCCCAGAATACTAACAACTAAAGAGAAATGTAAGGACAAAAAGGAGATGTTTGTTTTGTGACCTCACACTGAGGTCAGGTGAACTGAAGGCACTTTTTACCTGGTTGTCACAGGGACTTAAGACAAGGAAAGAAAAATAAGAACTAGATCACAAGACAATAGGTCTTTCTCCCATCAGAAAGCTAGATGATCATTCCATTGCTTTAGCTTTGTTACTGAAATTCAGAGCAAACTGTTGGCAAATAAATAATAATAGAGTAGTCTTCTGCTGGGCACTGATGGCACACAACTTTAATCCCAGGACTTGGAAGGCAGAGGCAAGTGGATGTCTGTGAGTTCAAGGCCAGCCTGATCTACAGAGCAAGTTCCAGGACAGGCTCAAAAATAATACAGAGAAACCCTGTCTTGAAAAAACAAAACAAACAAACAAACCCCCAAAAAATCAACAACTGTAAGGAGTAAGGTTTTTCCTCCTGCTGCCAGTCTTGTCCCGCCGCCGTGCCAGCCCCAATTAACACACAGAGACTCTGTATTTGATATTATGCTGTTGGCCAGTTACTAGTTTCTTATCGTCTAGCTCTGTCTTAAGTATTAATCCATTTCTATGTATTTCCATGTGGTCTTACCGAGAGCATAGGAACGGCGGTTCTGTTCTCTCCAGACTCTCCATCTTGACTCCTCCTTACTACTTCCTCTTTCCTCCTCATCTCCTAGTCTGCCTATCTTGCTTTCCTATTGGCCAACAGTGCTTTATTCATTAACCAGTATGAGAAACATATTTACATAATGGCATCTCCCATCAAACAAAAAAAAAAAGAAAGAAAGAAAAGAAAAGAAAGAAAAGAAAAAAGCGTTGTCTTCATGGAAAGTTGAATACTTAGTATGGGAACACAAAAAGTGGGGGAACAGACTACCTAAATCAGGAACAGAAGCAAACTTTATTCATAAAAGAAATCACTATAAGCACAAGAAGCTTACCAGTTAATTAGGACCACAGCCAGAGATTGGGTTTCTGAACTGTGGCAATGGGAGTTGGTTTTGGTCTTCTTCTTGTAGTAAAATTAAGCACTGAGTGTGGGTCAAAGAGCTTTTACAACCTTGAGGTCAGCCTTAAAGTTACATTACATTTTAAGTTTTACAGCTTTTGGTTAGGAAGTTAACTTGGGATGTTTGCAAAAGCCTGTGACTGAATCAGTGTAAGGAGCATATAAACAGATATACAGAAGCCTGGCTGGAAAGAGATTAGGAAAGTGAACATATGCAAGGTGTTTAAGGACCAGCTCAGGACTGAGAAGCAGAGCCCACCATGACTGTGTGAACTCTGTCTCGATTCAAGCATCCAGTCTCTGGTCTTCAATGTCTAGTACTGGACCAGGTGGCTTTCAGTTTAGTGGACTGGCTTCTCAGGCTTATCACACTCTGCCACACATGCACACTTTCATTCACTCTTGTCTCTAGTAGTTAGGTAACACATCTAGGTTCACTTTCCTAATCTCCTTCCAGCCTGGCTTCTACCTTTTTGCTGTCCCTGAAAGGATGCAAGGCAGAGAGTAGAGTCACATAGGACAGTTGAAATTTAAGGGAATACAACACAGAGAATCCCATAATTGCCTAGCTGGGAAACAGGAGACAATTGTTAAAAGTTTACCCTGGTACACAGTGACTACTAGGATGTCTGTCCTTAAGGCAAAAAGAAATTGTTAAAGATTAACAGTGGCTGCCAGCTTTATGTAGTTTTTTCTCAAAATGTGTTTGGGCTTACTTTTTATGTTTTTATATTCCTGAATACTCCACTTTACACAAACAGGATTGATAGAATGAATCTCTCCTTTTATATAGACAATGGATTTGTTAGACTGTGTATAAGCTGTGGTCCAGGTAGTCCAACAATGCTTCCTACCAATAGAAATTTAAAGAGTCCACTAGTTATTTAGTTCATGAAGCTGAATATCTCAGCCGGTCTTCAGTATATATCAAAATTCCAAGGAAGTAGACTTTAACGCTGGTAAAGGAATCAACTTGTTAGCCTGAGCAAGGGCAAGCAGGCAAAGAGAGAGCTTTCTTCTTCAATATCCTTTATACATGTAGGCAGCCACGAGAAAGAATAATTCCGATTAAAGGTAGACCTTTCTTTGCTCTTGCTTTTGTTTTTTTGGTGTTTATGAGACAGGATTTAATTGTGTAGCCCCAGAATTTATTCTGCAGACCATGCTGGTCTCAAACTCAGAAAATCTGACTGCTTCTGCCTCCTGAATGCTTGTTTTAGCAACTATACATTTTGCTGCTCCTGAGATGGAGAATAAAAATTACCCATGACCCTGCCAATCTTGGAGTCCTTTTACCCAGAGGGTCCTTAATAGTGTGATGAATCTCCTGTTCTTCTTGCCATGTTAGGTGCAAATGTTGTAGATTGAGTGTGGATTCACATTCACTTAGGTCCATGGAAAGAAGATGCAGGGGCACCTTAAGGATGATTTTAGCCTTTACAACTGCTGGGAGAATTAGCATCTCAAGACTGAAACCTCTCCTTTATGGAAGGAATTTTTTTTTCTTTTTATTGTTATCCAATTTACACCTTTATCAAGTTGATTTCCCATCCCAAAACATCTTATCTAAGCTTCTCAAAGGGACAATAACAAATGCAAATTCTCCTTCAAAGAATACCACAGTCCGCCTGGTTTTTCCAAACCAAGTTTTGCATAGGCTATGTATCCCTAGAAAACTCTCAGATAAGACTTCAAACAGAAGGTACCAGAGACAAAGTAGCAATCACAAAAGGCAGATCAAACTGCCTGCAGAAATCTTCAGGAATTCACAACAACAATGCATCTTTAAGTACTTAATGTCCAGTTCTGACAATGGTGGAGGATCACTCCTACCAGTCACACCCCCAACCCTGCACCTGGGTCCACTGTGAGTGTCATTCTTCATGGTCACACCTACAAAAGTAGAACACCACACAAAAGTACCTACAAGGCATTGTGATGGTCTTAATATCCACTTCTGAAGGTGATGGACATGTGAAGCCCTGCCCCTTGGCCTCAGAGGATGTCTTGTGGGTGTCAATCCCGGAGGTCATGCCTAAACCTCAGTGGAACACTCTGCCCTAGTACTTCACCAAGGGAACTCCCTGCACCCGCACCTACAAAGCACTAGGATAAATGTAACTTCTCATTCTGAAGGTGATGGACATGAGGAGTCCCACCCTCACTCCTCGAGATCACACCCATAGTGCGGGAACTCCCCACAACGTGGCTGCAGCCAAGGACGCCATATGTTGTAGATGGTGCCCAGCTGCTGGTGGATCTGGCTCAGTGAACTCCACTGCCGTACTGCCTCCTGCCTCAATTTCCCCACCACCTCGTGGAACTCGGGCTCTGAGTCAGGATTCAGTGGATGGGTCTCACCCGGGTCTGCAGAGATGTCGAAGAGCAGAGGCGGGTCATGTTCTGTCACATCCCCGAAGCATGGGCAAACTGCACTGCCATAGCAGGCTCCTGCCCCTTCTGGGTGGAAGTTCGGGGTCATGAAGTGAACCTTCCAGACTCTTCCTCCTGCAGGCCAATTACAGTGATGAAGAGACACATAGCAGTATGCATACTCTGGGGGAGGGAATAGTATACACCCCCTAAACATGACTTCATTGACACACAGATGTGAAAAAGACAGGAACCTAACCCATGGCCACTCCAACCCAGAAGCACTCCCTTCCTAGTAAGAAGAGTTTTATGTGTGTGTGTGTGTGTGTGTGTGTGTGTGTGTGTGTGTACTCACGGTCACGTTGTACCCAGCGTGCAGCATGTAGAAACACCTCACAGTAGTGCAACAGGAACTCGTGGTCTGAGTGCTGGGTTTCTCCTCGTAGCAAGGGCAGCAGGTTCCTCCCGTCAATCACCCTAGGGATTGGTGACACATCAGCTGTTAAACAGGTGCTCCACAATGCCAATAGGATGGCCCTACAACCTCTCCTGTCACTCAAGCACTCTGCTATGCTACCTCTGTATTGCACCATATGACATCACACTAGTCACTCGAGTCCTCTGCAGCCTTGTCCCCCCACTGCACCATGTAACAGCCCCACCTGTCCCTCAAGTGTATTTCCGTTGTGACATTATTGCTCACCCACCCTTCTCACCTGCTCCCACCCTACAACCACATCATAGCAGCTGTCACTGACTTCCGGTGTGACATCATTGTTCACTGGTTTCATGTCTTCCTCTCTCACTGGCCATGTAACAGCCGCTGTAACTCAGACTCACTTCCAATGTGATGTCAGTGCTCACCTGTCCCCTTTGCTCCTCCCTACCCTGTCTGCATATGCATGACAGCAGCTTTTACCCAGGCACACTTACAGCGTAACATCATTGCTCACCAGTCCTAAGGCTTGGCCCTGCATTCATGTGACAGCAGCTGTCGTCACCCAGGCTCCCTTTAGGTATTCTTAGTGCTAACCTGTCCACCCTGCTCAGCCCAACCCCTGCCTCACACATATATGTGACAGCAGCTGTCACTCAGGCTCTTTCCTGATGTGACATCATTGCTTACCTGTCCTTTGGCTCGGCTCCGCCTCCCAGGAGGACCACAGTGGGGAACACATCCATCATGCTCGTGGGTTGGTCCACAACCCGCCCTGCAGGCAGCACTCCAGGCCAGCGGAAGATACCAGGAACTCGGATGCCGCCCTCCCAGCCACCCATACCTTTGCCACCTGTGAAGAAGGGACTGGCAGTAAGGCTAGGGACTGAATGTCAAGCCAGAGGACTTTGGTAGGAATAGGAAGTGGCAAAGAATAGAGGAGGGAGAGAGAAGGACACCACCTCAGGACACTCAGGGAACCACAAGTGGAGGAAAAGTATGAATGAGCATGGGAAGGAGAGGCAGAGCCACCAGCAGAGGATACCTGTTATCCCTGGAACCTGGAAGTGGGGGAGAGGGTGAAGGATCATGAGAAGGAGAGATGGAGCCACTAGCCAAGGGAGTCTTGGAGAGAGTGCTTGTGTTAAGTACCGGGGTGGAGTACCTAGCTCACCTCTGTACCCTCCGTTCCAGCCCCCAAGCTGCACATGACCAACACGAGACTCCAGTGAGCCTCCATGGTCCGATGCAAAGTACACAAGCGTGTTGTCTGTCAGTCCTTCCCGGTCCAGGGTGTCTAGGATCTGCCCTGCGAGGTCAGACATTTGTGACCAAGGACATGTAGGCCCACAGGAGAGGGGCATGTGGGGGGTTCCATGGGGCTATCCCATCAGCCACTGTGACCCACACAGGGTCAGGGACATGGGGCATTTCCATCAGCCCCTGCGAGGATGCCGGTCACTCACCCACCATCCAGTCCATCTCTTCCACATTGTCCCCATATGGCCCATGCTTGCTCCGTCTATGGAAGTCCTCAGTAGTCACAAGGGGGATGTGCACGTGCAGGAAGGATACAAGCAGCATGAAGGGGTGGTGCTTGTTCCTGGGGGGACAGTGACATAAAAGGCCACAAGGAGAGGCCAGATAAGGCATCATAGCCCATGGGAAAATGGAATCTCTTTGATGGTTTCTACTGTTTTCGGTGACATCACTGCCTCTAACCAACTTCCCTCAAGATTTCTGTAGTCCTGTCTCTCAGCCTCAGTCATTTCTGCCTGGGACCTGATGACATCAGCAGTCATTTCTGTCCCATCAAATGTCTGCCATCTACCAGTCATCTGTCAATGACTGTTAATCTGTACTTACACCTGTCACTCTTCTTTCAATGAATCTTTACCTATATCTATTTGTCAATCATATACCTGTATCAGTCTGTACCTATCACCTGTCAATCATGAATCTGTCAATTAATCTGCATCTGACATCCATCCGTCATCCTTACACACCTGTCAATCATGTATCTCTGTCTCATGTGTGTATTGATCTACCATCTATTACTGTCTGCAGTTACATGTTAACTGGTAGTCAATCCCTCAACATGCATCATCTGTTACCCATCCACGACTCACCCCTCAATCATCCACCTGCCTATCTCTGCTCCTAGTCTCCAATAACCCACCACATCTACCAATCACGTGTCTATTGCTCTATATCCAAGTTGTCATCAAACCCACTATCCCCCTGCTTCCACTTACTTTTCAGAAGCTGAGGGTTGGAGATACTCTGCCAAGCAGGTTATTGATAGCCCCCCCAAATCTAGTTCCTATAAGTCTATTCAGACTTGAGCGTACAGGGCAGCTAAGCCCATTCCATGTGAATGACATGTTTATCGTGTCACTTCTAGGCACTCACTCTCCTGCCATGTGACCTTGACATTGAACTCCTCACAGGGAACCATGGGAGGAAGAGAGGAGGGAGGAAAGATGGGGGGGGGGGTCCAGAGATTTCCCACCATGCACTGCGTTTTGATGGACACTTAACATGTAATCATGGTGGAGGTGAGAGTGATATCAGGGTTTTCCCACCATGCCCTGCACCACACACCTCTGCAGGAAAGTCTCTGCCTCCCTGAGCATGAGGCCAGTGACTCGCTCGAGGCGCAGGGGCTGTTGGGTCACCGTGTGGTTCCTCATGAGGAAGCAGTCAGCATATATGATGAAGTCACCCACGTGACGCGATGCGGCGGCGAACATGGCGGTAGTAGCAGCCAGGACAAGGACTAGCATCCACCGCGGTGCACGGATGAGCCGGGTGAGCTTCCCAGCTGCCAGGGTGAGTGAGGCAACTGCAGCTACCTGGCTGCACAGGTGCAGGCGGCGCTGCAGCTTCATGCGCTTCTCAGAAGGTTCCGCCACTGCGCAGTCCCCCATCATGCCCAGTGGCATCCCCAGGAAGTGTTGGAACCCATGACTCAGTGGGTGGTGGCAATGGTCAGAGGAGGAGTGACAGTTCAGACCCAGGTGCCACTTCCCTGGGTAGTGAAAGAGAGGAAACCACAAAGCATGATGGGCGGGGTAGGGGCTGGCAGCCCAGTGATGTCACCACTCACTTCACATCACATGACCTCACCCCCCCCACTCATGTCAGATGATGTCACCACCCACTGCAGGTATGATGAAGTCACCACCTGTCCAGGACAGATGATGTTACCATTCCCTACAACCCTACCCATACATCATCTGATGATATCATCTGATGACATTGCTACCTGGTCAGGGTCTGATGTCACCACCCCTACATCCCGATCCATGCCACATCAAATGATGTCACTATCCTCCTACGTCAGAGAACACACCAATGAGGCCTGTGACATAGCCTTGCTCCTTCAGGATTTTTGCAAACGTGATCTCCTCAGCTGGAAGGCCGCCAGCACCCGCTGCCCACTGGAGGACACGGTGGCCATTACCAGATGTCATCCCTACACCGGAAGGAAGATGAGTCAGGAGGGTGTCCACACAGTAGGACATGGAGCACACAATAGTATTTGGACACATAGTAGGGCATGGAGGAAGGATTTGGCCCTGCCTTTCACAGAACCCAACATGCCCCTGGCCCTGCCTCCCATAGAACCCAATATGCTTCTGGCACTGCCTCACATAGCTCCCAGCATGACCCTGGCTCTGCCTCCCATGGTTCCCAGATGTCCCTGGCCCTGTTTCTCATAGAGGACCTTAAGAGTCCAGCCTAAAGGGAAGAAGCAATGACATCAGAGGGGCATAATTGGAGGAAGTGACATCATCAACAGGGAATAACAGGAAGTCACACCAACAGTGGGGTTTAGTGGGAGGGAATAACCTCAGCAACAGGATCATCCATGGATGAAGTCATAGGTCAGTAGGAGTATTTAGGAGTCAGACCAAGGGGAGAAAGTGATGTCGTCAATGGGGCATAGTGGAAGGGAGTGACATCATCAGTGCCTAATGGAGAAGTGACACCAGTAGTGGGACCAGGTGGGGAAAGTGGTGTCAGTATGGCCTAACGGGAGGAAGTGACATCAGCAGTGGGCTCATTAGTGGCTGGAGTCATAGGTCAATGGGAGGGACTTAGGAATGGAGCCTAGTTGAGGAAGTGGTATCATCCTGAATGCCTAGTTGGAGGAAGTCAGGTCATCAGCAGGAGGGTGAATGGGGTCAGTGAGCCATACACAGGGTAGGGCCAAGGGGAGGAAGTGACATCACCAGCAGGCTGGTAGGGAAGTGGTCAGGGCACACAGGGCTGCTCACCTGTACGGATGGGGTACCTCCCAGTGAGGAAGGCGGCCCTGCTGGGTGTGCACACAGCCTCAGCTGCCAGGTGCTGTGTGAGCCTCACTCCATCTTCTGCAAGTCGGTCGATGTTCGGGGTCCTGTGGGGGAGGGAAGTGTATCATGGAGTGGGAGGCCATTAACACCCATGTGACCCTGACATCAGCTTCACTGTTAGCCTGGTGTTAGGCATCATGGGAAATCCTGAGCTGACCCCAGGGTGATGCTCACTGTGGTGCCTGCATATCCTGATGTATTATGGGTATTCTGGTAAGGAGCATTGTGGGTACCATCATGAGGCATATTAGGCCCCAGGCCTTTCCCTCCTCACCTGATGGTGCTGTTGCCATAGCAGCCAATGTCCCCAATGCCCAGGTCGTCTGCCAGGAGCAGGAGGAAGTTGGGCTGAGACTGTGATGCATCCCGGCCTATGACTGGCTTCAGGCCCAGGAAGACACCCAGTAAGGCGGCAAGGCAGTTCCTGAAACACAAGTGACAAGTCATCTATCCAGCTTCTATCCACATCACCGAGGCAGAGAACATTGGTATTGGGTAGCAACATGTGGCTCCAGGGATCTGGTGGTGAATTCTGGGCACCATGGGAGTGTGCAGGATTAATTTACAAATAATTATAAATTGTCAATCAATTAAGTTTCCACAAACAAGGACTTCTAGGAGATTCTCTTACCAGCAATGTGGGTAATGTATCATGATGCTTCTGACCTGGGGATTTCTGCAAGAAGTAAACAAATGATAAGTGACCATATGACAGAAAGGACACTTTCACAGTCCCTGCCCCTTCACCTGCCTGGGTGATGGTTCTGTCCACAGTAGGAATGACCCTCCCTTGTCAATCATCCCCCAGGACAGGCCCCCAGCCCTCCCATGTCAATCATTTGTCAGAACACATGTGTCTATCATCCCCCAGGACACGCCCACAATCCTGCCCTCTCAATCATCCCTCAAAACATGCACAGAGCCCTCCTGTGTCAATCACACTTGAGTACACACCCACAGCCCTCCTTTGTCAGCAATCCAGCTGGACAGGGCCATAGCCCTCCCAAGTCAACCATCCTTGAGAGCACACCCACAGACCACTGTGAGGTGGTGACAAACACTTCACTGAGACAATTCCCGTGATATTATGAGTAGTGACAGTTGACAGAGCTGTCAATCACCTTAAGTGCCTGCTTCCCCCACAGGAACCTTAAGGGAGTACCTGTGACATCATCACTGTCACTCTTTCTAGAGTGGGTATTTCAGCCATGCTGTCAGGAAACTGTTGTGGGAGAGGAGACCTGATAGCACAGGAAATCAGAAATAGAGGGGCTTGGTGCATGCTGGGAGGTGCCTGGAGTATGCTGGGGAAGGACTGTGTCTTCTGGAAGGAGAATGGTGCATGCTACAAAGGGCTCCTTGTATTATGGGAGGGGCCCGATTCATGATGGAAGAGGCCTGTGTACTTTGGGATGGGCCTGATGCATGCTAGGTGTGGGACAAAGTGCCAGGAGCCTGGTGAATGCTAGGAGAGGCGTGTGTATTGGGAGGGACATGGTACATGATGTAAAGAGCTTGATGAATTCTGAGAAGGAACCTGGTGCATTCTTGCAGAGGCCTATTTATTACGTATTATGGAAGGGGCCTGGTGAATGCTGGAAGCTATGTGTGTTATGGGAGGGGCCTGGTGCATGATGGGAAGGGTCTGTGCATTATGGGAGGGGACTGACTGATGAATGGGGCCTGTGTAATTTGGAGGGATATGGAACATGCTGGGAGAGGCCTGTGCATTTTGAGAATGGTCTGTGTAGTATGGAATAACCACCATGCATACATTTTTAACTTAAGTTGAAACTGAGTTTAAAGACAAATTGAAAAATAAAACAAAAATTAAAAAAATTAGAGTTAAATTTCATCATCTAATTACCACCCCCTGGACATGCCATGTGCAAATATTTAAATTCCTCAAGATTTTCTGTCCTGCATAGATGTTGGAATTGTGCCAAGGCCCGAGGGTGTAACTTGGTGGAGTCGTGAAAATTTTAGTATTAGTTTTTAAAAACCATTAAAAATCTTTAATATTCTAAAACTTTAAAAAAATCTTTAATTTTTGAGAATCTAGCTGTCAAATTTTCACAGGAATAATTAATTATTTTGACGCAGTTTTCCTCCTTGCCTATTTACTTATGTTTTCATACATGCCACACACCGGCCAACAGTGTTTTGCTTTGTTTTTAATTTTTAATTTAATTTTGTTTTTATTTTAATTTTTGCTTCAGTGTGCTTCCAAATTTCATTTCTATTTGGATTTCTTCTTTAATTTTTAAGTTTAATCTTTAATTTTATTTTTCAATCCCATTTCCATTTTTACTTCGTATTCAACTTCGGTTTCCTAATTCAGCTTTTGATTCTCATCCATCTTAATTTAGTTTCTCCAACTCCTCCAAACTTTTTCTGCAAAAATAACTTATTTTTGTTTTGTCAACCAGTTTTCCCACCCGATGGTTCCCAACGCAGACCTGCACCAACTGGCTGTGACTGAACCTCCCATGTGAACAGAAAGATCCTTTCTTTTTTATTATTTGTTTTTTCTCCCTAGGGTGGGGGAGGGGCGAACTTTCTCCTCCGTCCTCCCTCTCCCCTCCCAGCTTTTCGTGGCGAATCCTCATGCCCGTGGATTCCACCCCTGACCCCAAAACGAGGCTGCCAGTCCCCTTCTCTTGCCCCTCCACCTCAGCACAGACTCACCGTCAACACGGAGCATCAGGATCTAGCTGGCTACAGCCTTTTCTAACCTCGCTCCTCGTCGTCTCCTTAGTATTCCCCTCCCCCTCCCCCCCCCCGCACTTGGGAGGAACTTGTCTGTCACGTCGGGCGGGGTCGACATGGATCCGGCTGGAACCGGTTTTCCTCTGCCTAAACGTGCCTGGGCAGCAGGGATTCATGTTTAATTTAATTTCGGCAATTCCAGCCCCTCTTGGCCACTCAGACATTGGATGCTAAAAGTTTCTATAAAAATAACTACAGTGGTGGAGGTTAGACCAGCAGGAGCTAGCTGCAGGGCCACCTGACTCCCCTAAGGTAATCTGTACAAGTTATCTTGGCGGCACTGTGGTAGCCACACGTGTAGGAGCCCAAGTGTGCACAGACGGTGTGGGGATGGCCAAGCTTGCATCAAGCCCCTCCCACAATACACAGAACCTGTTCCGTATTATACAGTCCTATCTCTCAATACACAGGCACCTCCCATAATACACAGGCCCATCACATGATACACAAGGCCCTTCCAGCATGCACTAGGCCCCACCTATGATATATAAGTCCATCCCATAATACAAAGGCCCATCCCCATTTATTATTCATTAATTCCCGCCCTAAACTCTCCGTGGTGGTGATTGACATGTGGGCCTCTGAGTCCTTGTGAGACCTGTGGTTTGACCTCTGCACAACCCCAGCTTCATTCCTTCCCAGTTATCATTAAAACTCTATAAAGAGCCGGGATAGGAAGGTTGCGGAGGCCAGACTCTCTAATTAATATGTAATCACCGTAATGAGATCGGCGGAATACTTAATTATGCTAAAGAGGATGGTGGAATAGTTAATTATGCTAATGGGGCAGGGATGCTTGGATATGCTAATGAGGCCCAGCCAGTGTCCCTGCCTTGCAGGAAGGACTGTGTCCCTCTGTAGGAGCAGCAGCCAGAGCGCTGGGTGAGTGCGGTTGGTCGATTATTCAATTTATTATCACACCGCTGGGGAGTGGGAGAGGAGGTCGATGGTTCTGTGTGTCTCTTGACCCTAGCAAGAGGGAAGGAAGCCCATGATTGAGGGGAGCATGTGACTGCTGCTGAGGGAGTTTTCAGATTGTTGTCTGTTCTGGCACAGGAGCTGTCTGTCCCTCCATCTGTCTGTCATGATGGAAAATGACTTGCTTTTGATTGATAGCTGTGACTGGGGTCCTGGTCATGGTGGGAAATGATATGTGTTTGACAGCTGTGACTGGGGTCCTGGTCATGGTGGGAAATGATATGTGTTTGACAGCTGTGACTGGGTTTGGGTCGCAATGGAAAAATGACATGTTTGATTGACAGCTGTGATTTGGGTCAGGGCCATGATGGGAAATGAATATTTGATTGACAAGGGTGACTGGTATCTGGGTATGATGGGAAATGAACTTGATTGATAGGAATACATAAATTTCTGTGTACATGTCTATACATTCTTCCACAATTGTGTGGAGGAATCAAAGAAGGTCACATGGTTTTCATGTGACATCAGGCTGGTCCAGCATATTCCATGCTTTCTGCTTGACCCTGTCCAACTCTACCTAAGTTCCTTTTGAACTTCATCCTTGATTCCTACCGACTCTGGACCCCTGACCCATGTCTAAGTGATCCGGGATCACCCTGGGGTAACCCTGTGACATCAAAGATGCAAGAGGATTAATTAGTGCTCACAACTCTGCCCCTCCCACCCCTGGAAGAGTTTTTAATGAAGCCATGGATCCTCTCCATCAAAGCAGCAGGGACTGATGCGAGGATGCACACACTCACCTGAGCCTCTGATCACCTGGGATTCTGGGGGTTAATAAGGAATCAGCAGTTATAATGCTTTTAGCCCAGCATATCCCATGTCCTTCATCAACTGTGCACAGGATCTTCTCATGTCTCCATGAGCTCATGTTCATGTTTAAGTGAGGGTCTGGTGACCTGGGGCCAGGAATGCTGCATGGGAGTCCAGGGAAGGGTCAGTGTGCTCCTTTTCCTCCAACATGTAATTCTCCACCATCCCAGAATGCTTTGCAATGGACTGGCCAGTGTCATTCTCTTCTGATTGTATTTTTGTTATAAATGTGAACCATTTTTTTCTAAATACCCCATAATGCTTAGGAGAGAGTTGCAAGTTGAGTTGGTGACCCAGAACATCGTGGGAGCCTTGATAGAGCAGGGCATGAGAGCAGAAGGTGGAGCTATAGACCAAGTTTCTTTCCCACCTGATTCCACTGCCATTTAGCCCCAAATAAACACACAGAGACATTAATTATATACTGTTTGGCTACTGGCTTAGGCTTCTTACTGGCTAGCTCTCTCTTAATTATTAACCCTTAACTATTAATCTATGCATTTCTACATGGCCTTATCTTACTATAGAATGCCTGGGCAGAGTCCTACCTTCCCAGTAGCTACATGGCATTTCCCTGGCAGCTCCTCTGTGTCCTCTCCCTAGAATTCTTCTTGTCTGGTAGCCCTGCCTATACGTTCTGCCTGGCTACTGGCCAATCAGTATTTTTGTCATCAATCAATAAGAAAAACATATATACAGAAGGACATGCCCCATCATAGAGCAGGTCATTATGTGAGCACTGCTCACACCCAGCTGCTGACATCAAAGTGGACAGGAAGGAGATACAGAGAAGAAACCACTTCCTGTGTCCCTTTAAAGGAAATGCACACAATTGCAAAACTTCCTCCCTCTAGGCTCTACCCTTTACAGGTGACCCTACCTCTGACTAGTGTTACTTTCTGGGAAGCAGGTCACACAATGGGTGCAACAGAAGTTTTGTCATTTCCTGTAAACCTGAGAAATTTTCCACCTGGTGTGAAATAAGACCCTTCCCAGCGCCCATGTTTTCTCAATTGTTCTAAGTCTATCAGAATGACATCAGCATGACCACACAGCCAGGTCACTTGCAGGTGACATGTGATCAAAGTTATATTTTCTATTCATTTTGTGTTTTTCTTCCCAGGACAGGAGAATATGCAACTGCAGGATACGTGGTGAGAGGATAGTCCATTTCCTGTGTATAGGCATGTATGAGTGATGATTGACACAGGACTGTGGGCATGTCCTGAAGGATGATTGACTAGGAAGGGCTGTGGGCATATCTGGTGGGGTGATGGACACTGAGGGCCGTCCCACCTTTCTCCAGGATCCTCTGGCTGTGTTTTTCCCTCTGCTTCATAGACACACGTGGTGAGTTCCTGACCCGGAACTCCCGCCCCAACATTGTGCTGCTCATGGCCGATGACCTCGGCATGGGGGACCTAGGATGCTACGGGAACACCTCTGTCAGGTAAACCGAGTAACCCCAACAGTGGTGACAGCCATCTTGCAGAAGTCCAAGTCTGCTCACAGGAGAGCAAGCCTATAGAAGTCACGTTCAGCCCATGCTACTGTTCTGTGTGGTCAGTGACACAGGCAGGCATGCCACAGCTCCCAGCAGCTGTCAGTCTTGATTGATAGCTTGGGGATGGTAATAGGTTTACTCCATGATCTCTCCTGGTCCCACCCTGTGACCTTCCTGTGACTCCACAGGACCCCGAACATCGACCGTCTTGCAAAAGAGGGCGTGATGCTCACACAGCACCTGGCGGCTGCCTCCATGTGTACACCCAGCCGTGCAGCCTTCCTCACAGGGCGTTATCCTGTGCGCTCAGGTGCGTATCATGTGACCTGATGTCATCGTGGGCAAATCCCTAATCAGCATGCACCGCTGTGTGCTCTGGTGTGTATCATGTGTGCCTGACATCATCTCAGGCAGTCCCCTACCATACATGCACCTTGTGCACTCAGGTGTCACATGTATGATGTGAGGCAGGTAGTCTGCTACCCAACATGCACCACCCAGAGTGCTCAAAGTCATCATTGGCAGCCCCCTACCCAACATGCACTGTGCATCTGCAGTTGCCCAAATTGCTCCCTCTGCAGAAACAGTGTTCCTTGGCTTATTTCTCAGTAATTTGTGCTAATTGGCACTCGAAGAAATTTACATATATGTACATATACTTCCATGCCCTCAAGTGATTCCTGTGTTAGTTCCTCGTAGTGAGAAATCCTGGGGTGCTGATGTGATAATGTTCATTGTCCATGGGGTGCTGACACCATGACAGCATCCCAAGAGTGCTGATTGCAGGATAACCTGTTCAGATGGCAGCTCCGTGATTCCCTGACCTCTGCTACCCTAGGCATGGCATCACCCAATAACATGTACCGTGACATCATGTGGTTGGGTGGATCAGGCGGACTCTCGAGCAATGAGACGACATTTGCCAAGATGCTGCAACACCGGGGATACCGCACAGGACTTATAGGTGAGGGGTCAGGAGTAAGGTGTCACAAACATGAGAGGTTAGGGAGGGAAGGGGGGTCAAAGGTCAGAGAGAGGTGGATGAGGGAAAGGAAGGTCATAGGTAAGGGGTCAGGGACCACAGGTCACAGGGGGAGGAGTGAGGAAATATAGGTCAGAAAATGTAGCACCCTCACTACAATCTGTTCCACGAATCGGGCGAAGGCCTAGAGATTGAAATAAAGACAAGACAGTGGGTCATTTGTTCAATGGCAAAGTAGGAACACCAAATGCCGAATGCCGTTTATTGAGGGGCAAGAACGGGCTTAAATACTGACTTATAGCACAGTAGAAAAATACAGGAATTTTTTGGCTTAGCTCCTCCCTGTGTTGTCACGAGGTATGGTTGTCACAGGGTGTGTGTCACAAGATCTGTTGTCATGAGGTGTGTGTCACGTGAAGAGTACCAACAAAAGCTTTGGGGCAAGGAGTTCCCACCAACAGCTTCAGGCTAGCTCAAGGTGCCTTGAGGTCCTACAGGTCCCCCGTTCTTTAATATAAACTAACAACTGTCTTAGGTGACAGAGGACGTCAGCATAATTCCTTACCAGTCATTGGAGAGGTCACCCAGGCCCATAACCTTCCTGTCTTAGGTTAGATATTTGCCCCCTCTGCCTTACCTGTCTCTGGTGAATAGTTTGTCAGCCACACTTGGGCAGAGGCATTTTCTCTTGAGCCAAAGACAGTATCTGTCTTGTTAGAAAGTTGGCCTGGGCCTGTTTAATGCTGTGGCAAAGTAGCACCAAGTGCAAGGGCTTCAAACCCCAATGATCTGCCCACAAGTTGAAGTCCTTGTAAAAGGCCTTCTGCATTGGCAAGTGGCACTCAGGTCTCATAGATGTTAATGATCTGCATGGCTAAAGCATGTGTATATCTTAAAAACTGATCACTCCAGGATTTCTGGAGAAAAATGATGCATTAACACAGATATGTGTAAAAGACAGAGAACAAGAAGCCATATGAGCTTCTCACAAAAATTCAAGTGTTCCTATAGGAGGTTAGTTTGTAAATTTAGTTTAAAAATGCCAATTTGTACTAGATAATCAAGTGTGCTTTGGGTAGCTAAGGCTTAAGCCAAATTACCTGCTAGATGATCCACTGTGCTTGCAGTATTTACTATGGGAGAGGGCTATGGTAGAAACTGTTGCTTCAGTGGTGAAGGCGGCACTGGCAGCCGTGATCCTGGAATCTCCTTTCCTCTCTGCTGCACACCCGGGGTAAGTGGCCCACGACAGCTGTTACAGTCGGCAGACCTGCTAAGAACAATTGAAACTTTCTCCAAAATTAGTAGCATTGGTTACAACAAAAAGAATGGAACCAGAATACAGTGCCTAAGATGAAGGTGAAATTCTTGTCCTTTGGATCATAGTGTAAATTTAAAGCCGCTTGATCCAAACTATAATTAGTGGTCAGGAAAAAAAGGTTACATATGGCTACTCAGACCCACAGGCATCAGGATTGGTAGATTCTTGAAGACCCATTGGACCTTCTTTCTGGCTGTTACAATCCTCCGCATATGGTGAATCAGCCGCTCAGGCACCCAAACAGGGTTATCTGCGTCTTGTGGAAAGAGACAAACTGACCCTCAGGACCATACTAGAACTGGGTCAGGGCCGCACCATTTTCCAGTAGTGAGTGACATTCTTCCACATAATTGAGCCATAGTCAGATGACCGAGGGCGCCTGTCAGCCACAGATCGAGCAGCACCATCAATAGTTAAAAAATGTAAAATGTATAGGACAAGAGAAAGGTGATTATGAGGATATCCTGTAAACTCCCCCTTTTTTGTTTTATGAAGATAGGCTTTAATTGTGCGATGTACACGTTCCACCATGGCCTGACCCTGAGGATTAAATTATAAGGGATACCTGTCTTAGGTGAGATAAAAAATTTTTTGCAAAAAAGAATTAAAACCATGACTAGTATAAGCAGTGCCATTATCAGTTTTTAATTGTCTGGGCATTCCCATATAAGCAAAGGCTTGTAAACAATGGCTCTTAACATCCTTAAGCCTTTCTCCAGTATGAGCAGAGGCAAATATGAGATGAGAATGGGTATCCACAGATAGATGAACAAATTGTAGTCGACCAAAGGAAGGAACATGAGTAACATCCATCTGCCAGATATCATTAGGTGTGACACCACGGGGGTTAACTCCAAGGTATGGAACAGGTAAGAACTCTGCACACAGGGGACAATTCTTAACTATATCAAGAGCTTGTCTCTAGTAATTTTAAAATGGAATTTAAGTGACCCTGCATTAAGGTGGAAGGTTGTATGAGCTTTGCAGGCTGCTTCATACCCAGACTCTCTCATCATCATAATGGCACTATCAGTTTTAGTATTAAAATCAGCAATGGCATTTCCTTCACTTAAAGGGCCGGGCAAATCAGAATGCGCTCAGAGATGTCCTACAAAAATTGGATGAGAGCGCCTCCATAGTAGGCTTTGTATGGCTAGTAAATGTTCTTCTACACAAGACACTGGAGCTATATAAGCAGCAGTTTCTAAGGGAGCCAATATATGATACACATATTTACTATCCGTGTATAAGTTAAATGGCTCATCAGAAAAATGTTGAAGGGCTAATTGTACTGCAGCTAGTTCTGCAAATTGTGCAGACTTCAATTTAAGTATAGAGCGTTTGTTAATGGGAAAAGAAACAACTACTGCACAACCATTTGAAGAGCCAGCTGTAAATACATTACGGGCCCCATTCAGAGGATTTTGGGAAATAACCTTGGGGAAACACACAGGGTGATTTTTTAAAAAAATGAGCTAACTTACTGGAAGGAAAATGACTATCAAAGCGGCAGGGTGTGGAACACAAGAAGCCATTGTATCTGTTGTTGAGTATAGGGAGTAACAATTACATCCAGCACCTTGCCAAAAACTTGAATATTCATTTTGTATGCCTTTTGAATAGTAGAAAGCATTGCCTGAGGATAAGATCTAACTGTCTTTCTTGGGGATGCATGTTCATGCACCCATAATATAGGACCAGTTTGCCAAAATACCGAAGTAGGGGAATACGCTGAAGCAAAGACTAATAACATCAAGTTCTGAGAATAGTCAATATAATTTAAATGTGCAGATTGGAGACATTTTTGCACAAGCTGCATACATTCTCGTGCAGCAGGCGTTAAGGTGCTCGGAGAAGTGGGATCAGAATCTCCTTGTAAAATATCAAATAATGTTCTAAGCTGCGCAGTGGTTAGGGCCAAACTAGATCGAACTCAATTTATGTCTCCGAATAATTTTTGAAAATCATTAAGGGTGGTCAGATTATCCAGCCTTAAAGTAATCTTTTGAGGACGGATACCAGAAAATAACAATTCATGACCCAGGTATTGATAGGGAAATTCTTGTTGCACCTTTTCTGGGGCTAATCTTAAGCCCACTAATTGAAGATTATGTTGCAATTCCCCAAAAGCCTCATTCACTTCCTTAGAATCCGGGCCAGCTAAAAGAATATCATCCATATAATGTGTAATATATAGGGATTGAAATTTCTCTCTAATGGGGGCAATGGCCAATGATACATAAATTTGACAAATAGTGGAACTATTGGCCATTCCTTGAGGCAACACCACCCATTGAGATCTCTTATAGGGCTCTATAAAGTTAATAGAAGGAATGCTAAATGCAAATCACTCACTATCCTGAGGATGCAAAGGAATGCTAAAAAGCATTCCTTTTAGGTCTATAACTAATAAATGATAGCCTTGAGGAATACCCACAGGGGAAGGCAAGCCAGGTTGTGTTGCTCCCATAATTTGCATACAATCATTAACAGCTCTGAGATCTTGTAGGAGTCTCCATTTTCCAGATTTTTTCTTTATAACAAAGATTGGGGTATTCCATGGGGAAGTGGAAGGAACAATATGTCCTGCCTCTAATTATTCCTTTACAAGTTGATGTGCAGCCTGTAACTTCTCAATAGATAAGGGCCATTGCTCCACCCATACTGGGTTATCAGTTTTCCAGATAATAGGAATGGGAACAGGCTGCATCGCAATAGCCCCTAGGGAAAATTTCCCAGCCCAGAGCGATCTCCAGCTCTTTTGATAATTAAATTTTTAGATGCAACAGACTGAGGGTCACCTTGTAGGAATTTACTCAGTCCTTTTTCTTGTACATAACCTTGGTCAGCCAGCATATTTTTAACAGGCTCAGTAGTAAGGACTGCTCCCATGGCCTGAAGCACATCTCTCCCCCAAAGATTAACAGGTATATGACTTAACACAAAAGGCTGGAAAATTCCTGTAGGTCCTTCATCATCTGACCATTTAAGAAACTGAGTACTACATTCTGGAGCCACAGCAGTTCCCACTCCTTGTAAAGGAGTGGAGGCTGGCTGAAGAGGCCATGCTTGTGGCCAATGTTTTTTTGCTATTACTGAGGAGTCTGCTCCCATGTCCCCAAGTCCAGAAAATCGTCTACCTTGTATGGTGAGGGTGAGCATGGGGCGCTGTTCAAGAGTTGATACCCAAAAGGCACCCATGGAGCCTGTGGACCCAAAACCAGCAGATCCCCTGATGTCCTTTAAAAAGGGATTGTTGGTTTTGAACATAGGGAGAAGACTCAATTGCGCTATCCGAGCACCCTGTGGTATCATTAATACCCCCATTTCTGCCCTAACCATGATTTTTATTTCTCCTTGAAAGTCTGAATCTACTACTCCTGGAATAACTCTAATTCCTTTCAACAAGGCACTAACAATAGCCCTATTGCTCCTGGGGGAAGAGGCCCAAAGACTCCTGTTGAGTGCCCATTTGTGGTATTAATATTGCTCGAGTGGTGGAACAGAGGTCCAATCCTGCGCTTCCTGGGGTACCTCTGATAAGGTCCTGAACATAAAGGGGTTTCTCTGAGGGATCATCTGTATTAGGCGGGTTACAGGTGTATCCATTGCCTCGTACACCTGGGCTTGAGGGGCCCGAGGCTGGCCCCGCTTCCAGTTTCCCTGAGCCGGTAAAGGATTACCAAGGGCATCTGTCTTTGACCTACATTCCTTGCTCCAATGATGACCCTTACAGCAACGTGGGCAAAGCCTTGGCCTAGGGCTCAATTGCGTTGCCACACCCTGGGGACAGTTCCTTTTGAAATGTCCTGGCTGTCCATATCCAAAGCAACTCTTTGGTCTGGCTCCTCCATTGTTCTCCCCTCTTTTCACAACTGAAGCTATTACCTGGCCCATAATGTGATGACCATCTATGTCCCGACATATGCGTATATAGTCATTAAGACTTTTGGACTTATGGGGACGTAAAGCCTCTTTACAATACTTGTTTGCATTTTCGAATGCCAATTGTTTAACTATGGGCATGGCATTTTCAACAACACCAAAAATGCAGCCTGCCAGCTGTAGGAGGCAGTCTGCAAATTCTGAATTGGGCTCAGACGGTCCCTGCAATACCTTAGATCTCCTGCAGCCTCATTAGGCAGGACTTTCCAAGCTCTAGTAGCAGCAGCAGCAATTTGTGCATAGACCTCTGGGTCAAAAAGAATTTGAGGTGCAAGGGTAGCATATTGACCTCCACTTGTTGCGCTCATGAGCGCAGGAAATCCGGCAGCAGCATTAATTTGCGTGGTTTTCTTGCAAAATTCTTGAAATTTGCCTCTCCAGAGCAAATAGTCACCTCCACTCAGCCCGGCTCTACAGAGCTGCATACAATCACTAGGGGTGCAATTTAACGCTGTAAAAGACTCAAAAATTGTCTGAGTAAAAGGAGCATGGGCCCATAAGCAGTGACAGCCTCTTTAAGCTGTTTTATATCCTTAAAATTTAATGGGCTGTGTTCCCTAACCCTGTTATCTGAGGATCCACTGTCTCAATCACTGGAAACACCTGTCTTTCCTTTTCTAACACTTCTACCTTGTTCTAAATCTTGTACTTCCTCAAAAGTCCTATTCATCTATGCCATTTCTTGTTTTACTTTATGGCAATGAATTCTTTAGCTGTCTTGTTTTAATCCTGGTGCCCTGCCTTTTCAATAGGGCCACTAATTACCCACTGAGCTTTTCCTTACAGTTACTGGCACCCATCCTTCAATACACCCTCATTCACTTACTTTTGCCGGCTGGCCTTCGAGGGCTATCTCTTAGGTGATCCTTTCTTTCCCGATCTCGGCAGGACCTCCACTTGTAGCGCCCACGCTACAATCTGTTCCACGAATCGGACGAAGGCCTAGAGATTGAAATAAAGACAAGACAGCAGGTCATTCGTTCAATGGCAAAGTAGGAACACCAAATGCCGAATGCCGTTTATTGAGGGGCAAGAACGGCTTAAATACTGACTTATAGCACCATGGAAAATTACAGGAATTTTTTGGCTTAGCTCCTCCCTGTGTTGTCACGAGGTATGGTTGTCACGGGGTGTGTGTCATGAGGTGTGTTGTCACAGGGTGTGTGTCACAAGATCTGTCCACGAGGTGTGTATCACGGGAAGAGTACCAACAAAAGCCTTGGGGCAAGGAGTTCCCGCCAACAGCTTCAGGCTAGCTCAAGGTACCTTGGGGTCCTACAAGAAAACAGAGGTGAGAGAGGGAAGGGGTCATAATAGAGGAGTAAGGGGTCACAGGTCAGAGAGCAAAGGAGTGAGGACAGGAGGGGGATATAAGTGATGGGGAAGGGGAAGAGGTTGGCAGTAAGGAGAGGACCTCCAGCCCAGGATGACACCTGTAATTGACACCTGTCAGGCATCGAACCTACACTTGACAAAAGCCTCCTAGAGGGAAAAATTCATTTAGTTCTCAATTCCTGGGTTACAGTCTAGAACCAAGGGGTCAGGTGATATGTACAGTCAACTGTAGAGTGATGGATTCATGCTGGAGACCTGGCATGGAGGAAGGTGCCGCCCAGAGTGAGCGGGGCTTCTGGTGTGATTCACCCATTGGGATTCGTCCACAAAGTCCTCAGGCAGTGTTTTGCATTGACTCAGGCCTGGAATATTATACACCTGTGATGGTTTACCACCTAGGGTGACACAGGGGTGTGATGTCTGTCAACATAATGTGCCAATGATGTTACCCTGTCTCTACCCCTCCCACACAGGGAAGTGGCACTTGGGCATGAGCTGTGCATCCCGAGGAGACCACTGTGCACACCCGCTCAACCATGGCTTTGACTTCTTCTACGGGATGCCGCTGGGGCTGCTGGGGGACTGCAGCGCCCGTGCCTGGCCAGAAGTGCACAGCGGTCTTCGCTTCCAGCTGTGGGTGACATCAGCAGCACTGGCCACCCTACCCTTTTTGCTGCTGGTACCCCGCCTGGCACGCTGGTTTTCTGTTCCCTGGTTGCTCGTGGCCGCTTCTGGCTTCCTGGCTGCGTTCTTCTTTTTGCTCTGGTTCAGCAGCTACGGCTTCGTGCGCAGGTGGAACTGCATCATCATGCGTGACCATGATGTTATCCAGCAGCCAGCCGAGGAGACCCGGGCAGCAGGGCTGATGCTGAGGGAGGCACTGGCCTTCATTGACAGGTGATATCCTATCTGGCAGAAGATTGGGGGTGGGTCTTGAGGGATGATTGACAGGAGGGCTGGAGCCATGTCCTGAGGGATGATTCACACTGGAAGCCTGTGAGTGTATCCTGAGGGATGACTGACAAGGAAGGACTGTGGGCATGTCCTGAGGCCATGACACAGGCCAGTGAGAGTGTGTCCTGAGAAATGACAGACAGGAGGGCTGTTCTGAGTGGTAATATGACCCTCACTGAATTTTACCCTACAGGCATAAGCGTGGCCCATTCCTGCTGTTCCTGTCCTTCTTGCACGTGCACACGCCATTGCCTACGCGTGGGAATTTCGTGGGTCGCAGCAAGTTTGGGCTGTATGGGGACAATGTAGAGGAGTTGGACTGGATGGTGGGTGAGTGACATGTGACCGAGTATGGGAACCTCTTATGTAAAAAGCACGTAAAGTAAATATGATTGCACAAAGGTCTGCATCGACATCAGGAGATATCATGGTGTGATTTGATAATGAAACATACTGTGATCTGTGTGATGGTGTCATATTGTCATTTAGCGTCATTGGAAATAACATATTGTGAACCATAGGATGTTGTTCAATCACAAGTGATGTCATCATATATGACCCCGGGACCCGCAGCACCCATAGGGAAAGCACTCTTACCTCCAAGTTGGAACTAAGGGTGCTTGCTGCAGGTACTGCCCCCGCCTGCCCCACATGCTCATTATAGTTCCTACCATTGCCTACCTACTCATTGTAGGGTGTACTCCTTCCCAAATACACAAGCTAGGTCACGCTCCTGCATCATGTGCTCATCTATGCCCTGCCTCTATCACATGTGCTCACCCTCGGCCCCGCATTCTACTGTCCCCACAGGGAAGGTTCTCGCGGCCCTGGATCGGGAGCGCCTAACCAATCAGACCCTGGTTTATTTCACATCAGACAACGGTGGCCGCCTGGAGGCAGAGAAAGATGGGGCCCGTGCTGGTGGCTGGAATGGGGTCTACAGGGGTGAGTGTTCCCAAAATGTGTGGTTGTCCCCTACCCCAGGCTATGTGTGGAAGTCAAAGGCCACCTGTGCTGTGTTCCTCTCTCCTACCACTCCACGTGGGATAGGGCACAGGATTTGAACCTGGGACCCAGGGCTGGGCCGCAGTCATCCTGCCTGCAAGCAGCCCTCTAACCTACCCCTACGCTGGTCATGTGACAGGAGGCAGCGGCATGGGTGGCTGGGAGGGCGGAGTACGCGTGCCTGGCATCTTCCGGTGGCCCACAGTGCTGGAGGCAGGACTAGTCATCGAGGAGCCTACGAGTCTCATGGACCTGCTCCCCACCCTAAGTCATGTGGGCGGCGGGATCCTCCCCCAGGACAGGTGCTGAGGGGGCAGGGCCGATTGTGGGAGGGGCCTGAGGGATGACTGACACGGGAGGGCTGTGGGAGTGTCCTTAGGAATGATTGAAATGTTGGGTTTACACTGAAATCCTGGCTCCCCTTGCTCCCCCCCCCTCCACTTCCTTTTCTGTTTCCCTGTACAAAGAGTGATTGATGGCCGGAATCTAATGCCGCTGCTGGAGGGCCATGTGCAACGCTCAGACCATGAGTTCTTCTTCCACTACTGTGGCGTTTTCCTACATAGCGTCAGGTGGCACCAGAAGGACTGTGAGTGGGGACAGGGCTGGACAGAAGCGAAGGGGAAACAGAAGTGGGAAGAGGAAGAGGAAATGAAGTGGAAATGGGAGAGGAAGAGTTAGAGGAAGTGGGAGGCAAAGGTGATGAGGAGACAGAGGAAGTAGGAAGAGGATGGGAAATGGAAGAGGAAGAGGGAGAGGAAGAAGCATGGGAAGTGGGAGCAGAAATGAGGAAATGGGAAAAGGAATAGGAAATGGAAGAGGAAGCAGGTGTGGAATGGGAAGAAGAGGGAGGGGTATGAGAAGTGGTGAGGAGACGAAGGGGAAGAGGAAGTTCGGAGGAAGATGATGGAAGAGGAAGGGAAAATGGAAGTGGGAGGAGAAATGAAGAGAAATAGGAAGTAGAAATGGAAGAGAAAGCAATTGTAGAAGGAGAAGTGGGGGTAGCAGAGGTGATGAGGAAAGGAAGTAGAAGAGGAAATTGGGAGGAAGAGATAAAGTAAGTGGAAGAAGGGATGGGGAAGCTGAACTTTGGAGAAAAGGGAGGGGAAATGAAGAGGATGAGGAAGTGAGGGAGAGGAAGAGGAAGGGGGTGAAGAAGCCTCTGAAACTATCTCGAGATAACCGTCCTGTGACCTTTGTACAGTCGATTATCCTCATGTCACAATCATGTCATCTAGTTCCCTCCCCCCTCCCACCACTGTTGGGTGTGTTTCCCTGGGTCCCCCTCCATGACAGTCTTGGGGTCACATGGAAGGAAATCCATGGGGCTGGGGTGTGTCTCGTCATGTGGTTACTCCCTTGTGCAGGCAACACTGTGTGGAAGGCCCATTATGTCACCCCCAATGTCTCCCCGGAAGGCTCCGAAGCCTGCCATGGTGGTGTGTGTGCTTGCTCCGGTGATGTCACCCACCACGACCCGCCCCTGCTTTTCGACATCTCAAGAGACCCCGCAGAGTCGCACCCACTGAACCCAGACAATGAGGTGCTATTCGACACAGTGCTTGGAAAGATGGCAGCAGCAGTGAGGGAGCATCGAGCCACCATTACCCCCACACCCCGCCAGCTCTCCACCTTCAATGCACTCTGGAAACCCTGGCTGCAGCCCTGCTGTGGTGCTGCCTTTCCGCTCTGCAGCTGCTCAGGGGAGGATGTATGAGTGTGGTTCTCAATGAGGCCTGGATACTCCCAACTTAGTGCTCCCTAATGGTGAAGTGCTCCCCATGAGGAGCTCCATGATAGTGATATGCTCACCACACAGTGCTCTTTGTGGGTAGTGTGATCCCCACATGATGCTCCCTGACAAAGGAGTAGCTTCCCATGCAGTGATCCATGGGCTGCTCCCCATGAGGTACTACATGATGGTGGGGGGCTCCTCACAGGGTTCTCACTGATCACGGGATGCTCTCCACATGGTGCTCTATGACTACGGGGTGCTCCTTAAACTGCTTACTGACCACAGGATGTTCCCTATGTGTGCTTAAGATGGTGAGATGCTCCTCACACAGTGCTCACTGACTGACTATTCTATCCCCCCTACCCCCATGATGCTTCCTGAGAATCCATGCACCCCACACAATACTCACTAACAACTGGGTGATCTCCACACAATGCTTTCTAAGAGAGATTGTCCTCACATAGTACTCACTGAGAGTACTATGCTCCACAGAGGGTACTCACTGACTGCAGGGGTGCTCAACAGGAAGTGTTCTCTGAATGTTGAACCAGTGATGGCTAGGCTCCTCACAGTTCTCCCTGATAGCAGCACTGCTCTTCAGAGTGCTCATTGACTCTTGCACTGACCCTCTGAGTGCTCCTCCTGTGGTGTTCAATGACAGTAGGTTGTTCTTCATATGATCCTCCCTGAAAGTGGGATGCTCCTCACTTAGTACTCCCTGACAGCTGGAGAGCTCTTCAGCAGGTGCTCCATGACAGCAATGTTCCCTGACAGTAGGTGTTCCTCACTTGGCACTTCCTGTCCATCATCCATCCCTCAAAATGTGTGGGTTACCACTCTGTGGAATCACGGGAGGCCAATGCCTAAGTTTCCCCAGCAGGTCCTGTTTCCCTGAAAACAAAATATCCTCAGTAGACTGAGGAATCTGTCATAATAAATTATCAGGGTGGGTTAACATGCATTTTCATAAATTAGAATACGTTGTCATGTTATTAATGCTTACATTCTGACCTGTACAGAATTATGGGTAGAGATATAGATGATGGCAGACATGCCTACAATCACACCTCCAACACTGAGCCAAATAAGGTGTTATGAAGTCATCTAGTCTGACATTAACACTTATCCTCTAACCCTGACCCTGATCCTCTAACCCTAACCTAAACACTCTAACCCTCTTACTCCAACCCTGACCTTCACCCTATGCCAAATATGACCCTGAGCCTCACCTCCATCCTCATGCTAACCCCTATGCTGACCCTAACCCTGACCCTGCTCCTCTAACCCTAACCCAACTCCTACCTTAACCCTGTCCTTAACCTTTTTAACCCTATCTCTAAACCATAACCACTGCACCTAAGAAATTGCCATAAACCCCTTCCCTCCATCACTACCATTTTTACTGTAAGACCCTCGGAGGGCGTGGACCCTCACACCCCAACTCCGGAAAGGTGCCCCCCCCCAAATCACTCACAAGAAGCGGTCTTGATACAAAAGCATGAGGTTTTTTATATTCCAGTGCACTGGGGTCTGCAGCTATATTCCACATGGGGTACAGGACTGGGAACCCTTGGTACAGGGTTTAGACAGCTTTTATAGGGTTACAACAAAGCCCGCGCACATTACAAACCAATCATCTCAATAGCATCCAGTGTGGACCAATCAATTTGAACTATCCAAGCCCGCGCTTTGCCCAGGAAGTCTGCTTTTTGATAGGGCTCCTGGGTAGTGTGGCACAGCTCATTTCCTGTTCTCATTCACTCACAGGTGCTGTCAGTAACCCACCCTGCCATAAAACAGTCAAGAATGACCTTTTGCCTACTGCTAGGGGGCAGAGTCTAGGGAAAATTAGGCTAAATTTTTCCATCCTTACATTACCTGCTTTCCTTTCACTGATGATTCTCAAAGTCGAAATTCAATTTGTGTTGCCACAACCTTGGCATCTCTTCTCTGCTACAAGGCTGAGACCTTTGAGGAAGGCTTTAAAGAGGAAGAATTGGGGAATTCCTGTTTGGCATCCATCCGCTGCCGGATTGATCTTCACACTCACAAGTGCGATGTTTACCTCTCTCACAAATCCGGCAAGTGTTATAGCAACAAAAATGAAATAATGAGACTGAGCAAAATCAAAATGCACAGGCAGCATCGTGCCTTCACTAACAAGATGGTCGATGTTCAGAGTGCTATGGAGGCTGACTTTACTCTGGGTATCAGGTGCAACAAGTTGTGCTGAATGAGTATGCACATATCTGGGGAAGAGAGCACACAAGCAACTTGGTGCTCCCAGTTCTGAGATCAAATGCACATGAGTAGAGGACTGGGAAGGGGAAGGCACAAGGAGAGGAGGAGGAGTCAGGCAAATGAAAAGGTGTCAAGGGAGAAGAGCCAGGGAAGGCTAAGAGGAAAGCAGAGAGAAACTGGGAAATGGGGGAAGGGAGCTCCAGAACAGGAGATGAGAAGAGTCAGTGTCAGCTGGGGGTGGGGCAGGAAATTGAGATTAGGATTAGACAAACGATCCACAAATGGCCATCAGTACACAGTAGTCCAGCATACCAATTTTGAATGCCAGTCAGCCAGTTAGGAGTTAACTGGCAGAGGCAACTTCATCTTTTAAATCAACTTAATGGTACAAACTTTGAGCTCCCCCCACCCCTGAAATGAGTACATTTTTTCCACCTGCCTCCACTGGTCTTGTCCTGCTGCCGCGCCAGCCCCAAATAATACACAAAGACTCTGTATTGGATATTATACTGTTGGCCAGATACTAGTTTCTTATTGGCTAGCTTTGTCTTAAGTATTAACCCATTTCTGCTGATCTATGTATTTTCACATGGCCGTCTCTTACCAGGGAGGCGGCTGGCGTCCAGATCTCTCCAGACTCTCCATCTTGACTCCTCCTTACTACTTCCTATTTCCTCCTTGTCTCCTAGTCCCTCCTATCTTCCTTTCCTATTGGCCAACAGTGCTTTATTATTAACCAGTATGAGAAACATATACAGAATGACATATCCCATCACCACCCCCCCAGGAGAAAAGAGCTCCCTGGGGGTAGAGGGAGGACCTCTATGACCCCTTTACCTCCAGGTACATTTCAGGTAAAATACCAGTGACCATAGCATAGCCCAGAGCATTCACCATCCCAGGAAGGGCAAGGGAGAAAAGCTGGCTCCTGTCTGACCACAGGGACCCTGGCTGATCAGCCTCTGGGGAAATAAGTAAGTCCTCCAAGGCCTTTCCCACATCCCAAGAGAGCTGGCAGGCTCCAGCCAACCTCCTCACTAGCTGCTGAGGCCTAGTCTTAAGCAAAGGCCATCTGTTACTCCACCAGCATTCCAATGGGGTAAAGGTGCAAACCCACCACCAGGCTCCTGTCCCTTTTGACTTTGGAGCTGGAGTGAGGTCTTGGGAAGACAGCTCCTTAAGGACCCCAACTCCCTCCATCAACAGTGGCCAAGAAACAAAAGTAATCCTCTCAGGGAAGCATGGGCAGCCCCACAGTTATTTGTCCTGGTTCAATGGTACCCTAATCCCAATCCCAGCACATCACAATCTTAGCACCTTGCTGAGATTACAACAAGCAGCCTGGATATGGGAAGGACATGGATGTGATGTGAACGCCAGCCTTACACATTACCAGCTTGTCTTAGGTTTCTATTGCTGTGAAAGGACACCATGACCACAGCAAGCAACTCTTCTAAAGGAAACATTTAATTGTCATGGCTTGCTCACAGTTCAGAGGTTAAGTCTATCATGGTGGCAGGCAGGCAGGCAGGATGCTGGAGAAATATTCAAGCGTTAGAAATGGCTGGGTAGGGTCCTACCTCGAACAAGCAGAGGAACACTGTACACATGACATCTACTGCATGCATGCTTGTTTTGTCCTCACCGCTTGCATCTCCGTTCTCCTCCATTTTCAATGCTAACCATGTATGTCGTCTCTCTTAGGGTCCTCCTTGTTTCCTAGTTTCTCTTGGGGTGTGAACTGCGGGCCTGTGATCCTTTGCTCTATGTCTAATACCCATTTAGGAGAAATGCTGTCCTTCCAGGATGTGGCCACTGAGTTCTCGCCAGAGGAGAGGCAATGCCTGGAGCCTGCTCAGTGAAAGCTGTACAGGGATCTGATGTTGGAGAATTACAGCCACCTTGATTTCCTGGGTCTTGCTGTCCATAAGCCACACCTGGTTACATCTCTGGAGCAAAGACAAGAGCCTTCAGATGTGAAGAGACAAGCAGCAGCCACTGTGCACCCAGGACCAAGACCTCATGATTATAACATTTATAACAAGGCCGTTGATTGCAACTCACTATGTATTCAACGCCAGAGAATTTATACATTGGAGAAGACTTATAATTGTGAAGAATATCATATGAGCCATAGTTCTTATAAGACACTTTCCATACACCAGAGACTTCACACGGGAGAGAAACCCTACACATGTAAAGGATGTCATAAGGCCTTCAGTACGTGCTCATCACTTTTTATACATCAGAAAGATCATCCTGATGAAAAAACACACAAGCATGAAGAATGTGACAAAGCCTTTCATTGTCTCTCATCTCTGAGGAGACAAGAGAGTTCATACTGGAAAGAAACCCCATGAGTATGAATAGTGTGAAATTGGTTTTTCTTTTCTCTTTTTTCTTTTTTCTTTTTTTTCTTCTTCGAACCTTGAATGACATAAACAGCAAAGAAAATTCATTCTAAAGACAATGTGCAGAAATGTGCTGAACCTGTCAAAGGCTGTTTATCTTTATATCTTTATGGATAACATAATATAGTTCATGTGGGAGGGAAATCCAACAGAGGTCTTAAAAGTTTTATCTCTACAACCCTCGAAGCACATCAGATGATTCATTCTCACTACAAACTCCATGAGTGGGTGAACTGTGGTAAAAATCTTTGTTAACAATTCAGATCTTATTCAACTCGATTGAATCCATCGTGGAGAATATGAAGTTAATTGTTTTGCAGTGTCAACACGAATATCTAACTTTC